AGGCTGCCAACATATGATGATATGTAGAAAACCTCGAGGGAGGGAAACTGTTTATCCGGAACTTGCTTGCGTTTTGGTCAACCATTCGTTTCCCTGGCAGGCTAATGTTATTACGTTAAGCCGTTGATACCCGTGGTTTATGATAATGTAGCAGACGATGCATTAAGCGAAGCTGTCAAAGCCGCTCAGAACGGCGTAACCGAAAACACGACGATGGGTCTTTGAGCACTAATTAAAATCAGAGCCTATTGAGGTGCGCATAATGGTGTCGTGCAGTCAGCGGTCGGTAATTTGCTCATTGTTGCTTGCCGACCTCTGACGACTCGCCATAACGCCGTCAGGTAGTTGTTCGCACGACGTTGTTGTGGCTGGAGCTTAGTGGTAGTTGTTGTCGGTCGTTCGCCAGCCAACCGTCTCGCGTTATACCGTCTACCTCAGTCGCAGGCGATTGGCTGTGGCTAATGGAGCGGGGCACCCGAGCTGTCGAGAAATAATGCTTCGACCCTTTGCGACCCATTGTTGCCGTCGCCGTCATTTTGATCCGATCGCAGGGCCACCGCTGCCGAACGCAACTGAATGATCTTCGTCCGCTTTTGTCATCAGTGTAAAGTTACACATGTCAAAATGTCGACCTCTTTCCTCCTGCGTCCGCTGCTCCGTCATCCTTCGTGCTGTTCATCTCGGTTGTACGTGCGCGCTGTTACTTTCAACAATGAGGATACTTCGTCCCAATTATTTTAGTCATTGAGGTGCTTCAGTCATGGAGTCTTTGAGTCTTGTGACTCAGGGTAACACCTGATCTTTCTTTACCGGAGTCACGGTTCTCGTGTGCAACGTCACTAGCCGGGTTAACGTAAAAGAAAGAGCATTGTGCTGCGGGAAATTCTGTTCCCTTTTCATTGACCTAAGAATGACAGGATATGGTTTGCACAGAAGGTGTCGACGTTCAAGCGTTTCCCGCACATTTGAATCGTAGTTTACGGCTTTTTTCGCATGGTACCATAACTAGCGAATGTTCCTAGTTCAGACTTCAACTATGATGGTCAATCTGTTTCCTCCGGGGTGGCCAATTGGACTGCCTTTTTCAACCACAGTGGGCACAGTTCGTGATGTGTACCGTTGTTTGATTCCCCCTCCCTCCCCCAAGACTGTCTTCATCATTCATTTATGAAGAAGATATCTGCGTTTTGCGAGATGCGTTGTATTTACAAAAACCGCTCAACGAGGTCCATTGCGGGTAGAGCAAGTAGAAACTTGGGACTTCCATTATTAGTTCTTGAATCAGCCTTACCTCATGATGAACTATGATTCTATCCATCAGCTGTTTATGTCCTTCCTGCTCTTCCTCCAGCAAAACACCCTATGCCCATGGAGGGTTCCTTAATTTTAGTCATATAGGTGGAGTCTAAGGCTACGTCCTAGGGGTCGTAAAGGCTCCCCAATCCGGTAGACAGTGGGTGAAGACTGAGAAGATATCGACGATGGTTCACCAGAGGTGCAGCCCCGAGCGAACTGCTGACCAACTACTTGCCAATAAACGCTGAAGAAGAGAGTAGTTGGAAAACATCGACCTACGTTCGTGACCCACCCTCATCGATTGCAAGTCAGGTCAAGAATGAAGGTTGAACCAGAATGATTTCCTGCCAGATTGTCGGGTCCGAATCAGACAGCATCTTTTCATATTTTCGGACTGTAACGATGTCTCGCCTCATGGATTTCGTCAGCACTGATAACCACTACAACGGTTCTATTGTAAAGATCCCGTCCGTTGACCATACGGAGTGCAGCATTTGTTTCTTTATCCACAAGATGGACGAGACAGCTATTTCACTACATGAATGCGCAACATTCTGCAGTTATTGATTAACGAACGGCCATCACCCCCCCCCATGGTGAACCAATTAGATTCGATGTGATGCCCACTCTGGTACCTGCCTTATTTTTTGTCTGTTTTAGGTCTTGCCCTTAGCCGATAGTCTTCGGTAAGAGGATATCTAGTTAGACAACTGATGGACATAAATTTGTACAGTGAATACGTGCCAATGCGAATGTGCCAGGAGGAAGAGGAAGTTTAAGAGATTAGACAACTGATTGAGCCTTTGATTTGATTGTGTCTTGACTGTGACAGAGGTGATGGTGAATGAGTTAAATTCTCAGTTTGTCACCGAGTTTCGAGAACCGTTCGTATACTCAGCATTGGTTTGTTCGTATGGCTTTTTGGACAGTGCGTATTTCTGATGTTTATGTATCAGCTTCCGTTGAAGATGTCTGCCCAATGGCCTTGTTAGGTATCTGTAAATGAATTAAATTTCTCAAATGACCTCCTCATGACAGTTGTCATAACACCACACCCGAGTTTATGGCTACCTCTTCGTGACAGCTGTCATAATATCCAAATTTCTCGCTATCCTATGTGCATGCCGCCTTTCGAAGTTGGATCGAGGGACGAGAGACCGACAGAAACTAGGAGATACAAGGGACCGTTGTACAAGTTATGACGTTAAATCTGCATCATGCACAGCTTCAGGTTTCTAGACGAAATTTATATCTGTCAAGCTGCTAAAAAAGTCGGTTTGATGATGCTCACTGTTATATAGTTGACTTTCTCAAAGAGTTCCTATTGCTGTTCCACTGTTTTGGTTGGCTTTTCATTTCTTTTCTATTCTCTTATCCTTCTGTCGTTGCTGAAGCTGTGGTGATCCTTTGTAGTCGCATATTTCTGTGACGTTTTGAATTGTTAGATCTTTTCCTTGATCGTTTTGCGGCAAATTTTCTGTAAGCGTGCCGTTTGGTTTTCCTCTGGGAAACCGGTGAAGCGATTATCCAAGCCTTATCGTTTCCGCCGAATTGAACCGTTATTAAACCGTGAAGATATTTCG